AAAATCAAGGACTAACCCACATTCAGCAATAAGCAAGCTAGGAGAAAGACACAGATTCCCCAATAGTATTCTTTCATCTAGTACAAAGTAATCCACAGTACAAACTCTTTCAGTTCTGCAAGCAGAAAAGAATAGAAGGTTCTCAGCACTTAGAAACTTTGGTGGCTTTGACATTTCACAACATCCAATTACAGTATCTATAGAGTCTTCCCCTTAAACAGAGTATAGAACAAAAGCATGGGTTTACAACAGATTGAAATTTAAAATTAAAACAATACAACAGCAACAATAACAACAAAGGACAGACTCTTTGCAATTTGAGAAGCACTGTTTTAAAACTCCTTGGGTAAGACTGGCTACCACTGAAATTGAGTTTGGAATGGAATTTGATGGCAGTGGCTGGTTTATAGCTTAGCAGAGAAGTTCCAAATTCCAGTTGTAGGGTGTCTCTACAAACAAAGCACCAACTCTTTTAAGAGACGGTCGCCCTTGATAGTGTCTTAAGGACCACTTCAAGAAAGTGTCTTTGGACCTCCATAACTGGACTTGGGGACARGGCAGATGGCAAATCCCAAAGATCTAGAAAACACCCCTCCTCAATTAATTCTACTCTGAGGCAGGAAACAGACAAGGCAGCCAATGACTGCAGGAGAAAAAGGCTGGTGTGAAGTGGCAGAGCYGAGGTAAGTCAGCAGTCCAAACACAACGCCCTGTCTTATGTAAGAAACCACAGCAGTGTGCCGGCTGCCAGGCTCAAATAATGCGCCTCTGTGCGCGAGGGAAGGAGGGAGCTGCAGAGACCAAGGCGCACTTGGAATTTATTGAAGCCATGTACACACAGTCTGTTAATGAGCATTCAGTCCCCAAAGTGGGCTCAGAGCTGACAAAAACCAGATACAGGGCCAGTGGATCAAAGTGGCCTCAATTCCCATTCATTGTCCCCTGCCTGGAACACTATCTCGCATATCTCCCCAAAGGGTCCTGCCAGTCCTTCTTTAATAGAAATTTGCAACCTGGAAATTCCACACCCTTCCAGTGGCTTCTTTTGTGCTAATTAAGTTAAAAACTCCAGAAATCGGGAGGGTTTAGAGACAGGGAGAGAGGAAAAGAATGAGACTTGTATTTGGACTTAGGCTGTCCAGGTTTCAGTGACCTTTGACCCTCTGTGCAAACTTCTGGAGGGAAATGTGGGCATCTGAAACCTAGATCCATGGGATCCCCAAGTGAATCTTGCTCCCATCCCTCAGTTAAGAGATTGAGGAGTTGAGGAGATAAAGTTGGAAACAGAATCCACTGGAGGCCTTAGAAAGCAACCTAGTTTAACTCAGAAATGCCTTAGCAAAGAGAAGCCATGCCGCACGTATCTGCCAGGGCAGGAGGATCTCTTGTGAACAGGGAAGAGTGTTCCGATTTGTGAGAGACACGGATGTGTCAGTCAACCCAGTGAATGACAGAGTTAGGCTTAACTTTCTTGCTCTAGGGACAAAAATGCAATATTCTAGTCACAGTTGCTCTTTCTCTGAGGCATCACAGAAGCATAAAACATTCATCCCGGTGGAGGAAAGGAGGGGAAAAGACAACCTATATTCATTTATTCATTACAAATATGTCTTAGGGGGCTACTTTGTGCCAGGCACCCTGCCATCTTGGCATTTATAGCACAGCAGGGCAGAGACATGAACAAGCAATTACAGACGCAAACAGGCAAACAGACACACGTGGAGGTTTACCTTCATCTACCAAGGTAAGGGGAGGATTCCCTGAGGAATTACCGATTAGCTGAGACTTGAAGATGTACAGGAATAAATGGACAAAATGTCCAGGACGCTTTTCAGCTTGGGGTAGGGTCCTTATTCCAGAGAGAGGGTGGAGCATTCGTCAAACTAAATTATCATAGCTACAGCTCCGTGAGCAAAGCAGAGTGGCTTCCACTGAGGGCTGGGTAGGGAGGTAGGGTCATATCGGAATTTAACCCAAAGGACAAATTAGCCTTCTAAGCAATGTAAAGTCATGCTCAGAATTTCATTTTAAAGGGTTAAAATAAATCAGGAAAGGGTAAGAACAGTCATTTAAGTGACAGGCAGTGATACATGAAGCCACGTTAAGTAAGAGAGAGAATCATTCTTTCATTTAACCATTTCCTATGGTCCCGCCATATGCCAGGCACTGTGCTAGGCACAGCCATATAGTGGGAAATTAAAAGACATCATCCCTACCCATGTGGCACTTACACTATCATACAGGAGACAGCACTCATTACATCATTTTTTTAAATTACACTTGTGATGAACACTAGGAAGGAAGCATGGGGAGCGGAAAGCAGGGCTTGATAACTAGATGGATGTCAGGAAGGAGTGACACGTGGATGGCCTGACAGTTGCCTGGGCAGATGGTGGTGGCATTATTAAGAGAGAGAACCGATTCTAGCCTAGATGGGGAAGGCAGGATGATAAGATCCTTTTTAGACAGCTAGGGTCAATATACCCAGGTGCAGCAAGGGGCTCGAGAGACAGAAATGAGAATTGGCGTCAGATCCCAAAGGAAGGCAAGGGAATAGACAAGGAAACCAGAGGGAGAACACTGAGCACCCAGAGCAGACCCGGCAAAACATTCTGAGTACAATGACCATCTCTTAGCACAGCATTTGCAATGCCCAGCCCTGGACTTGCCATCTCTGAAATGGTAACCGATATTTTATTTAATGACAAACTGGATCATATGAAATCATTAGTTGAACTTGGGCACTAGAATATGTTTAATTTAAATACTACAAATTTATATATCCTCAAAAAAGATGAAAGCATTCTGCACATTCAAGAAGGTGCATTTCCTATGAGGTGACACTCTGCCACAACATAATCTCTGCTGGTATTTGGGTTAGTGTGATAGATTTCATTCTCTCATTGGTCTCTGACATCCCAAAATCAAGGTACCAGGAATGAATTAATAATCCACCTTGTCTGAATCTTCTAAACTTGTAAATAGCTGAGGTCTTTGTAGAAACCATGTCTTTCTAGCTTCCAATACATATGAGCCAACCAAAGCCTGTGTCCTTACTACCATCCACTCAACAGTGCGGTTGGCCACCTCCAGTAGGTAGCTGGCCATTTCTAGACCCTGAGACAATCCTCAAAGTACTGAGTACTCTAGTCAACTCAGAGAAAGGCACTGAGGAGCCTGTCTGGGCTGGAAAAGTGGCACTCTGGTATCCTCCTCTGGATCATCATACATGTTAAAGTAGGCAGCAGCCACCCCAGACCTGCACATGGGCTTTGTCACGTTCCAAAAGCTCCAAGGAAAACACGTTATTCAAAATCTACCTCAGAAAAGTGTTTCAGCCTCTGGCTAGAGGAGGGAGGGGAATCGGCTTCCCTGGGCTGCTCAATCTGCCAGACTGAGAATAAAGAGTGTTTTCAGAGTGGAGTTTTCCAGCTGCCTGGAAACAGGAAGTGCCCAATCCAGGAGAACAGTAACCCTCACACACGCCCTACATAAAGACACGTTGAGCCATTAGTCCTAATTGCCTGTGACTGACATAGGAGTGAGGCCGGCCTTCCAGGCATTGGCTCAGCAGAAAGAAAACAACAGCTCACTAGGGACACAGGCAGCCATTTTCTCTCCTTTCTGCCAAAATGACTCTGCTCTGTTTTCCCCAAAACTATGCCATACAGATTTGAGATGACAAACGAAAGGTCTTTTGAGTATTCTGTACCACATAAAATAGAAAAGACATCTCCACAGGGAGTAACCATAACTAGCTGGTTCGTAATCATCTTGCAAAATCAAAAACTTGAGCTACCTCTTCACACCTCCAATTCTCACAGGGTTTGCAATACTTTCCGTCTGATGGACACTCTTTATTGAGGGGTAAGAATTAGGCAGCATGCCAAGGGCTGGGGTTAAAAACACCTATGCCCTCATGCTTCGTATTTTGACAACTGAATTTTCAGAAGCACCTTTAAGAATAATATGGCACATTGCACATCAAGCAAAAGACCTCACATCCTTCTGATTTGTGAGAGACATGTCAGTCAACCCAGTGAATGACAGAGTTAGGCTTAACTTTCTTGCATCATGAGGGCTCAGAGGACACACACTACCACCAAGCCAGCTTCAGCCAGATCACCAGTCATTATAGCAATATGGCCAATGGCTTCTTCAGTACCCAACTGGTAACCAGGATGGACAATGCAACCAGCCCTGGCTATGAGCAGCAGTCACCAAGACTGTTTCCCAGGCCAGAGGCATTCTTTTCCTTTACGGCTCTTTCACAAAAACTTCTTCAAAAATGCCCCTTATTGGGTATAATGCCCATCTTTTGGCAAGCACTTCACATACACCATCTGATTTGAGTCCCTTAATTTCCTGGAGAGATGTGTATGCTTAAAGTCACTTCGCCAAGGCCATACAACGGAGGTGGCGGGGGATTCAATCCCAGGTATATGGTTCCCAGGTTCCTGCTCTTAATCTCCCGTTATTATATACTCAAACTTGAACTTCTTTTTGGATTACTGGGGTCATTATCTTCTCATCTAAGGTCTTTAGCATCAAATTTAATTTCAAACTAAAAGATGGCCAGAAAACTAGTAGTACGGGAATAATGTACACGAATGTTCAGTACTTAAAGCCCAAGTCTTCCAGAGGTTGTTAAGATAAAGCTGAAGAAAAGAGCTGTTTTCTGGCAGAATTCAGAGGAACACCCTCCCACAATTCAGGAAGGCAAAATGAGCTCCTTGTTCCATAAAAGCCACTCTCTTTGAGTAAAGCTGTTCATTTCAAGCCATGGCATAAGGTAGCATTGATTCTGCCCAGATGATTTAGATTCTTTTTAAGACTTATGTAGAACAAGCAGTTCTTCCACTTCCCTTGCATCTACGCACAGTGGCCTCCYCTGAGACAACTGGCTACTAGGTAATAAATAACCGTGTTTCTTTTGATCCAGTGAAGGGGGCTCARTCTTTGAGAAGGATAAGGCTTCTGCTGGACAGAAGGCTACTCACCCAGCAGGCAGAGAATCGGGAGCCTGGGCAGACGCCGGGAGCTGCTGTGTCCCAGAAGTGCTGGGTTCCTCTCCTTCAGCAGGTGTGGCTGGAGCAGGCAGAGACGTTGTGTTGGAGTTTGGGGTCACACTCAAGGCTGCAGGAGATGGGGACGTCACACCAACAACAGAAGATTCTTCAGGATCAGAAGCTGCAGTGGGTTCATCATTCACTGAAAATACCCAACCATACTTTAAAAGTCAATGAAGAAGAACAATTCTGTTTACATTTACATTTACTAGGTCTTTCTCGCTTATTTCACTAACAAAGTATCTACATTATTACCCTTGGTAGATCATGCCAACAGTAAAAGGTTTTACAAAATAGAACTCTGAAAATACAGTAGGGCTGGGGTTGTAGCTCAGCAGTAGAGCACTTGCCTAGCATGTGTGAGACACTGGGTTCTATTCTCAGCACCTCATATAAGTAAATAAATGAAATAAAGGGCCATCAACAACTAAAAAATATATTAAAAAAGAAAATACAGCATGTCTTGTCTGAAGGAAACTGGAGGATGAGTCTGAAATAAATACAGTACTTACTATCTTTAAAATAATTCTATTAGGTTTTTCTAACATGCTATGGTTACATTCATTACAATAAAATAGTAGGAAGGATGAAGATAACAGGGAAGCATGTTGGTGGCAAATAAAGCAAGACCAAGGCCAAGTTTATGGGGTCACATCCTTTTCTTTAAATCTGCCATCTGTCTGCTAGACATAAATGGTACCTCCCCTGAAACAACTCCAAACACGTGAAGAGGCAAGTCCCAATCATGGACTTGTCTTTTAAAGGCTTCTACGAAGAAGGAAGGTGAAAATACTCTGGATGAAAAAGAAGGGGCTCAAAAGGTAAGGTCTCGTCTCCCAGGTAGCAACAAGACAAAGAAATAGAAGTGAAATAAGCTAGTTCCCAAGTCTCCTTATTTCACCATTTCTTCACGTCTTTGATAATCACTTATGCCCACAAGGACCCCAAGGTACTGCAATATTCCAAAAGGATCAAACAAGGTTTCAAGGAATTTCAATTGTAGGAGGCACATGCAGAGAGTTTTTAGACATGTGTGACTGCATATGTGTATGTTTTTATTAGAACTTCATGAGAAAACATCATCTTTTAGTCTCATCTTCCTAATTCAGAAATTCATTTTGCAGTTTCCCTAAGAAAAAGACTATCCAGATTTCTTCTCAAACATTTCTTCTGACAGGGCATACAGAACCAGTCCAGTATTGAGCAGATGTACTTTCTTTTTTTTTTTTTTTAAAGTTGTAGACGGACACAATATCTTTATTTTTATGTGGTGCTAAGGATTGAACCCAGTGCCTCATACATGGGAGGCAGGTGCTCTACCACTGAGCTACAGACCCAGCCCGAGCAGATGTACTTTCAAGAAAGTTTTTCTAATATTAAGCAGAATTCCACTAGCGAGTCTAAGTCTCTCACCTCCAAAGCAATTCACAATGAGTATGTGGTATATTTTCTGTTTCTCATTAGTCTTCTTTTTTCCAGTAAGAAGGCTCACTACTTCCTCAATGTTTCTAGACCACCTTTCCTTAACCTCTGGCAGCTCTCCCATAGATRCCTTCTGCCATCTCTACTAATCAATGATATCAAGAACTGAACATAAAAAAAAACTAAACATAATAAATCAGATGCCATCAAAACAGCAGAGTCAGATTGCCAATTTAAATGGGACTAGTTAATATTTACAGAACACAGGGGTACATCCCAAGCAAAGAGAAGGCACTTTGGATTATCCCATTGAAGGTTCACACACAATGCTACAAGTTAGGTAGCATCGATGAGCCCCATTTTACATTGAGGAAACTAAAGACAAAAGAGGGAAATCACCCACTAGGGTTACAGAGCATCTAATTCCCACCCTGCTGTCTGCCTCCAAGGTTTAAACGAGTCACTCACTCACTGCACTCTACTACTTCTCTGCAGGTCCTTTAGTGAGACCTAGACTACAACTCTGAGCAATCACTAGATCCTACTGGCTACCTGGCCTGGGGGTCAGGGGAAACTAAAATGTCTTCACAGGACCTTACGCCAGCTTGATCTTAACAAATGCATTAGAGCTTAAGCTGGGGCCATCTCCAATCTATTCACTTGCTTTTTTTCCCCATGTGAGGGCTAAATTAGGTTTAGTAAATGAATAAATCTTGTGTCATTAATGTTTCCACAATATAAATGCAACACTTCATATTTACGTTCCTTATTCTAGCTCAGCCAAGCTAGTAACACACAACAGATGGCCATTCTCTTTAGGCAGATCTATACATTTTACTCAATTCCAACTTCTAAAAAAAGATCCCATAGCAACTTTTTTCAGAGCTAGATAAATTCATTCACAAATTTATAAGGAAAGCTAAAGTATGTATGAGTGAGTAGCCCTGAAAACTCTAAAGGAGAAGAGAGTGGTGTGTTTGTTGGGGAGTTTATTCTCTAAAGTATTGAAACATATCATCAAACTGCAACAATTAAACTTGATACAGATGCATGAACAGGCAGACATCAATTAAATAAATAAGAAAGCTCAGAACCAGATTTTTTAAATAATCCAATGGAGTTTGCAAAATAGTCATATTCTCATTCTATCATGTCGTCTTCATTTATTGGCTGGAATACTTACAAAAAAAGGAACTTCCTTTTAGCAAATCTCTGGCCACCTTGAGGTTTAGTTTGTGAAGGAAAAGCCAGGTCAAATGCTTGATTCTTTTCTTTTATTTACCAGTCTGCAGAATGATGAGTTGATTTCCTTGCACTGTTTAAAAATGAGCCATGGGGCTGGGGCTGGGGCTGTAGCTCAGTGGTAGAACACTTGCCTCGCACATGTGAGGCACTGAGTTGATCCTTAGCACCACATAAAAATAAACAAATAAAATAAAGGCATGCTGTCTGACTATAACTACAAAAAAATAATTTAAAAAAATGAACATGAAGTTTCACTTTGTTTAAAAATCATTATGAAGTTCTAGACTTCAACATTTCAAGTATTTCAATCTGTTACCATAATGTTCATATTGATACTAAAACTGTCCCCATCTTTGGCTGTGGCTAGTGAGCACACAGCAAGGGGACAAAGCTCAAGTTGGCTTCAAGTTCTATAGAAAAACTCTAGGATACTATTAAATGGGAAAATGCTGAACAGTGTATGCATTTATGTTTGTGTGTGTACATATACACAGATGTGTGTATATACATATATGTACACACATCTACATTGTAGTATTTGTGTGTTTAGTAGTATTTATGTTCCTTATTCTAGCTCAGCCAAGCTAGTAACACACAACAGATGGCCATTCTCTTTAAGCAGATTTATACATTTCACTGTGTATAGATATATGTGGTTTTTCAAAGAACAACTATACATATGTCGATGTATTCAAAGAATATCTTTAGAAGAGTCACAAGAAACAACAGTAACTGAAGACTGGCAAAATAAGGGGAAAACATTCTTTATGCTGTGTAAGTTTCTATACCTTCAAAGTTTTAATTATGTGTATGTACTATTATTTTTAAATAATGATTATGAAATTGTTGGCTGGGAAAAGACAAGAGCAGAGCCCAGGGCATGCTGATGCAGAAGCACCTTTAATCTACACGATCTGGATCTGACTGTTCGTACAGCTGCAAACCTAGTTAGAATGGTTCCCAGCAGATCTGCATCTGCCCACTGGACTCACCAGAGGAGCTCAGTTGTTGAAGAGTTCTATGCCACACCTGAGTTCAGATTTGGAAATAGAGAAATGTGAAAGCCAGATATCCTAACCCTCATGAGCTTTTTTACAACTATGTTGACACTCTTCCACTGTGTATATGTGTGTGTGTGTGTGTGTGTGTATTTGGGTGGACAGTCATGCACCACATAAGAATATTCTAGTCAAAGAAGGATGCATATGATAGTGGTCTCATAAGATTATTCTGCCTAGGGATGGGGCTGTAGCTCAGTGGCAGAGCACTTGCCTAGCAAGTGTGAGACACTGGGTTCAATCCTCAGCATCACATAAAAATAAACAAAATAAAGGCATTCTGTTTATCTACAACTACAAAAAACAATTGAAAAAAAAAAGATTATTCTGCCCAGTGACACTATAGCCATCTCAGTGTAAAAGTACAGTCTATGGTGTCTGTCTAATGATGAAATCACAGACACATTTCTCTGTATCCCATCCTTCAGTAACATGTAACTGTATATGCCCATTCTTAGAACTTGAGAGCTTTACCTCTGAGGTAAATCCACTCCCATCACAGCTTCCAGCTAGAATAAAACGTAGACATTAGAATGTCTACATAGTTAGAATGGTTCCCAGCTGGCCATATCATCACCCTGGTAAACCAGTGACAGGGCACATACTCAAGCATGATAGGGCTTCAAATACAGAGAAAACCTGGACAGTCACAGATGAGGAGGTACAATTTCATCACGCCTTGGAGAATGGCTGTGTTTTACTTGTCGTTCTGCTTAATACAGTTGATGTTCTCTCACCTCTAACCCTAAACATATGATGTGCACCCTTCATCTGCCCCAAGACCCTTCTTAGGAGTGAGGGCACATCTGCCTACCTCCTGTTGCACTACTTCCCCTTGTCATCTTCTCTACCTCTTACCTCTTCCCTGGAGGCCCCTCCCCACCACTGCAGCCCCAAATAGTCATGCCCCTGTGGTCTCAGCTCCTCATCCCAGAGCCCCTGTGATATCTGTGCTGGAACTTAGCTGAGGTGTATTTTCAACTTCCAGAAAGAGATTTTAGGGCAGAGGATTTATCTTACACTTTTTTACATTACGTTGTCAATCTGTTTAGCAAAATAGCATTTGATAAATATCTATTCAACAAATACTTGTTCAATAAACCTAATAACCTAGCAAAAGAAAAATATTTGACACTGTGAGACACTTATCGTTTGCAAAACAGGTTCTTTAAAGAAAAGCTAGGGGGATAATATCACATATATAGAAGTTGAAAACCTGATATGCCCATCACCCAATTTCCCCTAATAATACTATCTTATATATAACCATGGCACATGTCAAAGCAAAAATATCTATTAGTATTAAGTATTAATATTAATAGCTAGACTTATTAATATTATTAAGAACTAGAGTCCAGACATCATTTGGATTTTTCCAGCTTTCCTACTAGGGTCCTTTTTCTGATCCAGAATCCAT